AATGTTTACCAACCAATGAGAACCACATTTTTTCAGAAAAAATTGTTTTTGCATGTGTACTTTTTAGTTAAAGTCGATTATTTAAATCAATGCACCCTGTGCTCTGGGGATGAATCAGGGTTCACTGAATTCATTGTATTGTAGTGGAGTATTGTTTGCAGGACCCCTGCTTCATTTGTTGCAGAAATTGGAGTGTGTGGAGTGAATGAGGCAAGGCATTGCATGAAGAGAAAGTATGATCTGGTAGTTAATGCAATTAAATGCGGCCCTGGGAATTTGGATTCTATCCCTGCCTCTGCCACAGAGTTCCTATATGCTGGGCAAGTCACTTGAACCAAACTTTTCGTAGGTGGTCATTAATTGTGTGTTCGTTTTTCTAGATGCTTGATTTCAGACCTTGCATCTGATTTGCAGAAATGCCAAGCACTCACATCTGCAACTGAAATCAATGGGAGCTGTGCTTTGAACATAGTGTTATATAATGTTAAGTACTCTGAAAAACCCGGTCTTAGGCATCTCAGTTCGGGTATTCCAAATCAGTGGCTTTTTTGCCCTAATCGCTCTATGTCTCAGTTTCCCACGTGTAAAAGAGGAGTGAGAATATTCCAACTCCTTGCCTAACCCATCTCATTACTCCCTTCATCCAATCTTTCTCTGAAGCATGCCCAGTGTGGACAGAATCTTCAGGGAATTTAGCTACTTAAGTCTCTACTGAGCATGTAGAAACTGGGAATTTTCAAAGGTTTTCAACATTGCTAAATTTGGAGGAGATTTTCATTGGGATGCTTTTTGCCACATCATGATACAAAGGCCATCCCAATTTCGAGTCCCTACTCCAAACACATAGGGTTCTCAAGCTTGTCAAAGGTCACCAGAAATTTTTTAATGAGTCAAACAACATTTTTTCCTAGCCTTATTCTTGGAAATGGCTAAAACAGTTCAGCCTGAAGCAGACACCTGGCATGGAAAATTTCAGCATAAACAGTTAAAGTTTGGCAAAGTTATAAACAACTGAAAACAGGTTTTATAATGAAATGGGTCAAGCAAATTTAAGAGGTGGTGCTACTAGCCCCCACCTAGCATCTAGTCCGAGAATGTAGATAGACACAAGTGACCCTGGGCAAGTCACTTCACTTCTATGCCTCACTTTTCCCACTTCTTAAATTGGGAATAATGATACTTGCCTTCCTCTGCAAAGAACTTTGAAATTGATGAAAATTCAGTCTGTAAGAGCCATGTATTATATCTGAGGCTAATACCATTTCCCTAAAGTCCTTCAAGTTATCAGGAGAAACATCTATTCATAGCAAGATAGATTCTAAAAACAATTGAGTAATAAGGCTAACGGTAAAATAAGACAGTGTTACTTGGTTATAATGGCAGATTCATCAATACAGCAATATATGGCAAATCTACCTAGCAAATGAGTTAATTTTCCTAGCTACACTGAATGACAGTTCTAATGGTCAACTGAATCATTTTTTCCACATGTAGAAACTTAAAAAAAATGTAAGAAAACTGGAGTGCTTTTTTTACTGCTTTATGCACGCTACAAGTCATGTAACAATCTTGTATCAACCAACATTTATAGTTAAAATGACAATTCAGGCACTGCAACACTGAAGAGCTAAGAAGTCACTAGTTTTGTTCACATTCTTTACATTTAAAAAACAAATACATCTGTTCCTTCCAATATTCTTCTGTAGGAAAGATGACTAAGGCTATGTCTATACTGTACATCTTACAAGGGCGTGGCTGTGCTCCTGCAGCTGCACTGCTGTAAGGTAAGCAATGTAACCACTCTGCCAGTGTAGTCAAAGTCTTAGTATGCCAGGTTTAGGTATATCTATACTACATGCTTTACATGAGCCAAAATCTCAGCTGTACATGCCATAATTTCATTCTGGAAGTAAGCAACATCAAGAGAAATAATTACGTCACATAGTAACCTTCTTTAAAAATCACAAACTGTTTACACAATATCTAACTCCAAACACATAAAATAAGCTTTATGGAACTAGAAGAAACTCTACCAGAGAGAACTGTCAGCATGTCTCCAGGCTTACTGACTCGCAATTACCCGAACATATGGTGTCACTGAAGCTGTTCAGATCTTTTGGATTCATCAAAGTTACAGAAGCAAAACAGCTAGAGATACTGTCTTGAGCAGCGGTTTTCAAACTATGGGTCGGGACCGCAACGTGGGTCACGACCCCATTTAAATGGGATCACCAGGGCTGGCTTAGGCTTGCTGGGGCCCGGGCTGAAGACAGAGCCTCTCCACTCAGGGTCAAAGGCAAAGCTCAAGAGCTTCAGCCCTGGGTGGCGGGGCTGAGGCCCCCTGCTCGGGACTGAAGCCCTTGGGCTTCAGCTTTGCGCACCACCACCCCCCGCCCGGAATGGTAGGGGTCGGGCTTTGGCCCCCACCCGCCTGGGGCAGTGGGACTCGGGTGGGTTCGGCTTTGGTCCCCCCTCCTGGGGTTATATAGTAATTTTTGTTGTCAGAAGAGGGTCGCAGTGCAATGAAGTTTGAGAACCCCGGCCTTGAATAATAAATTACTTAACCATACCGGCAATACATCACTCATAAAAGATACACTTCCAGTTCTGGATTTATCTACGGAGGACACCTGCATGTAGTTCCATTGGGGGGTGGGGGAAGAATTGTGTTTAGTCCATGACAGTTTGACCAGGTTTCTAAGGGCTAGTCTACACTGGCAACGCTAGAGCGCCAAAAAAACACCTCCACAAAGGGCGCAGCTCCCAGCACTGGTACACTGTCTACACTGGCACTTTACAGCGCTGAAACTTGCTGCGCTCAGGAGGATGTTTTTTCACACACGAGCGAGAAAGCTGCAGCGCTGTAAATTGCCAGTGTAGACAAGCCCTAATATACATTTCAAATGCTAGACCGGGGTGGGCAAAATTTTTGGCCCAAGGGGCCACATCTGGGTATGGAAATTGTATGGCGGTGCATGAATGCTTACGAAATTGGGGGTTGGGGTCCGGGCTCTGGGGTGGCGCCAGAAATGAGGAGTTCAGGGTGCAGGAGGGGGCTCTGGGTTGGGGTGTGGGGCAAATGATGAGGGCTCCGGCTGGGGGTGCAGGCTCTGGGCTGAGGCGTTGGGGGTGCAGGAGGTTGCTCTAGGCTAGGACAGAGGGGTTCATAGAGCAGGAGGGGGATCAGGGCTGGGGCAGGGGGTCAGAGCACGGGAGGGGGTCAGGGGTGCAGGCTCTGGGTGGTGCTTACCTAAAACAGCTCCCAGAAGCAGCGGCATGTCCTCCCTCCGGCTCCTACATGGTGGTGCAGCCAGGTGGCTCTGCACACTGCCCTGTCCGCAGGCGCTGCCCCCGAAGCTCCCATTGGCCACGGCTGCCGGCCAATGGGAGCTGTGGGGGCAGCACTTGGGGCGGAGGCAGCTTGCAGAGCCCCCTGGCTGCCCCTTTGTGTAGGAGCCAGAAGGGGGACATGCCGCTGCTTCTGGGAGCCATGTGGAGCGGGGCAAATCCCTGATCCTGCTCCCCGTCAGGAGTGGGGCAAGCCCCGGACCCCGCTCCTCAGCGGGAGCTTGAGGGCTGGATTAAAACGTCTGGAGAGCCAGATGCAGCCCCCGGGGCCGTGGTTTGCCCACCCCTGCTGTGCTAGACTCACATGTCCATGATTAGTAGGGCTTATAAGCAAGAAAAATTATACAGGGAAGCTTACAAAATATACAAGAGTCATCTGACCCTTTTAATCCTGTATATTTAATAAAGCAGCCATACAGTAATAAGTACAACCAATGTAAAAATGTTAAGACAACAAAAAATTAACTGCGGAGCAAGCCGCAGGGGAAAAAATGTTTACATATCTATCCACCCGCAGGGCCCATCAGCTCCAAAATTAACTATGTACTCCCAGTGCTTGATTAGTTTGAGTCATTTCTATTTTATAACTTCTATGCAAATAATGTTTTAAAGCAGAGGTTCTCAAACTGGGAGTTGGGACCCCTCAGGCGGTCGTGAGGTTACGATCCCCCCCATAATAACCTCATGACCGCCTGAGGGGTCCCAACTTGAGCTGTCATCCTCCACTCCAAACCCCGCTTTGCCTCTAGCATTTATAATGGTGTTAAATATATTTAAAGGTGGTTTTAATTTATAAGGGAGGGAGGTCAAACCCAGAGACATTCTGTGTAAAAAGGGTCACCAGTACAAAAGTTTGAGAATCACTGTTTTAAAGCCTGCACTGTAAAAAGTTCTTTTTCCACTAAGCCACATGCCAGCCACCTCCTAAAAACCCCAAACCATTTTAGAAGCTTATACATATCTTTTGTTAGGCTCCAACCATAAAAAAAAATCAATCAAACCAAGGTCTGAAATGCCAAAATTTAAGATGAACCCTTACTAAAACCAAACCTCTACCTCACACAGAGGAACAGCAAAAATAAAAATGTAGTAAAATAATTTGTGATATGCCCTATCAGAGGAAAGCAAGTTGTATCATGGTGAAGAAATCCTCCTACTTATTTGTGTAGTGATTATGAAACTGCCTGGAAGTTGAGATTCCTTTCACACACTTTCCCAATTACTGTCAGGTCTCCTCAATGCCCTCTCAATAAAACCTTGGGCCTCAACTCCCTGTTTTTGGTTTTACCCTGTTCCAGCAACATTACACCCTGCACAGCTGAAGTTGGGAACCTTCCATCACCACAATGGGCCCTGTGCCCCTCCAAACAAACCCTGGGCAGCTAAGCCTACGGCAACCCCTCTCCTGACTCCCCACACAGAGGGGCCCCGGGAGCCCCTCGCCCCCCCCTACACATCCGCGCGCACGCAGCGGGGCCCCGCCACCTCCACACACAGCAAGACCCTACCTCTGCGCGCACCTAACCCACGCACTGGGCGGGGGCCGGGGGAGCCCCCCTACCGCTGACCTCGACACCTGCCTCCCCCTCGACGTCCGGCCACCCCCCACTTGCCCTCCCCGAGACCGGGGCCTCCCGGCCCGACGCACTTACCGATCAGCCTGCGCACCTCCTCCTCGCTCATGTAGAGGCTGAGGCCGGGGCCTGCGGGGGAGCCCACGCCGAGCGGGTCGGAGCTGGGGCTCGCCTGGCTCTCAGCCCCCGCGGCCAGCAGGAGCAGCAAGAGCAGCGGCAGGAGATGGCGACGCGGGGCCCGCCACCGAGCCGCGGGGCCGCCGGGCAGTGCACGGCCCCCGCCGCCCCAGGGCCGCCCCACAACCTCTGCCCCGCGGCCCCTGCCTCGACTGCCGGGCCCCATCGCTCCTCAGGGAGCGGACCCCGCCCGGCCCCTCACACGCCGCAGCCCTCCCCGCCGCTCATGCTCGATCTCCCGCCGGGCCGCTCGCTCCGCTCCCGCCGCAGGCCCCGCCCCCCGGGCCGGGCTCCGACCGACCGACGCACCGCCCACCACACGCGCGCGCGCGCCACCTCCTCCGCGCGCAACGCCCACCCTCTTCGCGAATGCTGCGCATGCCTCACACCACGCCGGGCATGCGCATTAGCCACGCCCCATTCCTTCTATCACTTCTTGGTCCCGCCCCCTGGCCCCTCCTCAAATGACCCCTCCATTATCCATTAATATGCCCCACCATGTCCCAGCATTGTGCTCCAGTCCATATTCACCCCATTTAGGGTGACCAGATGTTCTGATTTTATAGGGACAGTACCACTATTTGGGAATTTGTCTTATATAGGTGGCTACTCCCCCACCCATCCTGATTTTTCACACTTGCTATCTCAGGAGTTCTCGAACTGGGGATCAGGACCCCCTCAGGAGGTCGCAAGGTTATTACATGGGGGGGTCGCTAGCTGTCAACCTCCACCCCAAATCCCACTTTGCCTCCAGCATTTATAATGGTGTTAAATATATATATAAAAAGTGTTTTTAATTTATAAGGGGGGGGGTCACTCTCAAAAACTTGCTATGTGAATGGGGTCACCAATAAAAAAGTTTGAGAGCCACTCTACTATCTGGTCACCCTACCCCCATTAGCCCATACTCCCTCCCCTTCCCCTCTTCTCCATACAATTTCCTTCATACTACTCCTTTCTATCTTTCCTCTTGGTATACCATCTTCCCTTCCTGCTCAATTCCCTTTATCTTTTCCTAGGGCCCCACTAAGGCATAGGCACTATAGGCCCATGGCTAGGGTCCTAGCTCTTGGAGTCATATAGTCATACCAGAATCTCACCTTTCATTTAAAAAAAAAAGTTTTTAGCCTTCATGGGTGGATAAAAAAGCTTGAAAATGGGACCAAAGTATAACTGATGCAGTCATACATATCTGCTTGATTCTGCAAAGAGAGTAGAACAATAACTCAGAAAGGAACTGCCCCATGCATAATCCACTTAGGGTGTTAACTCCAAGACCGACTGTTCTGGGGTGCCTGGCAGGGAACTCAGTATGGTATGGGAGAAGAAGGATGCAGCTGGCCTAGCTCAGTCCTCCCATGTGGATCACACTGGCTGCTGGAGTAAGTACTGGGGGGATTCCTTTTCTACCAGCTCTGAAGCGGGGAAGGGACCTCTGCTGTTCCTGAAAGAAGGGGAGCCTTCCCATCACTGTCACTACGTATGAGGAACATGGCCACAGGGTGGGGGTGAGACCATAGGACCAGGCCCATGGGTTCCTACTTGCCTTAGGTCAGCTTTGCCTCTTCCTTTCTTTTCCTTGGGCACTGCTGTTGGCAAGTCCTGCCCTACCTATAGCCTCCATGAAATGGTTGGCACATCCCATTCTTGAAACACTTGTACCAACCTTCCTCTTAAGAGCTTATGTCCCCTGCACATCAATTCTATATAGATTCTTATACCACATTCACCACCATTGTTTCTGAGCACCTGCTTGTCATACATTAAGCAAGATGACTAACGTCTGTCAAGTGTTGTTTGTTCTCTCATTCTCACCCCAGGGGAGAAGTGCATACAGTGGAGTCTCTTGGTTGATAGGGTTGTTGGTTTCCTTTCATACATCCCCACCCACAGGGGTCTCAAATCCAGATGCACAAGGGAGCAGACACGTTCCAATCCTCCACATAGCAGCCTGCTGGCAATAGCTTACCTGAAACCCACAAAGCCCTGCCCAGTGTGACACTCTGCCCTTGAGGTCTGATTGGTGGAGTCCCAGAGCAACTGATTGGCCTGCTAGCCCTACTGAAGCTGGCAGCAGGAGGCTGTCTGAACAACTGGGCTCTACCCTACTCCAGCCTGTGTGCCTTGTGCTTCTTGCTACACACTCTTGCTTTCCCGGCTTGATCGCCTGGCATTCTGACCTGGCGTGACTCCAACATCTGACTCATGGCTCCTGATCTCCAGTTTGTCTCCTGACCCTGACCCCCTAGTACCTAACCCAGTCTCACTCTTGTTCCCGCCTCGTGGGTCTGATCTTCTGCTTCTGCCATCCCAGTATCCCGACCCATCTGACTTTTGACTCCCATCTCATGCCTGCAGACTTTGGCTCCAAGTGTGAGGCATGGCCGCTCATGGCCTGGATGTTTCAGAACACATGTTGCTGTGTATTTATGTTACAGAAAGCAAGGTCAAAGCAGTTGGAAGAGAAGGTGGTGAGGTTTGTGATGGCCCTTAGGCCCTGGGTGACTTCATTCCACAGTCTCAGACCAGCGCCCAAGGATGTTCTGGCTTCTGCACACATGAGCTTTACCCTTATCATACAAAGTTTCAGTCAGCTAAAGGAGAGAAGTTGTCAACCATGGTCTTCAGCCTATGGACTGAATTGACCAATTGTGGCAGTGTACTTTCAACCAAAGAAATCTACACAATAGCTTCAAACTCTTTCAACATGCTTTCCGCTGCCCACCAGCATCACCTCTGTCTTGCTCAGTTCAGTTTCAACCTGCTGTTCCTCATCCAGGAGCTGATCTCGTCTAAGCACTGGGCCATCGTGGTAGTACCGTAGCATTATGGTGAAAGATTGGTAGAGCTCTGTGTCATCTGCATATTGATGGCACTTGCATCCATGTCATCTGACTAGTGGCTGCATGTATATATTGAAAAGGGCTGGTGAGAGAATTGATCATTGTGGAACCCCCGAAAGGAGGGCTCTGATGGTGGAGGTTCAGTTTCCCATCACTACTTGCTGGGTGCATCGTTGAGGAAGGAAGGATCTGCCACCTCTCTTAGGCATGTAACAGTAACTCATGATCAACAGTGTGAAATGCTACAGAGAGGTCAAGGAAAATGAGAATGGAGGTCTGCCCTCTCTTCACTGACAGGAGATCATACACCAGGGCCACTAAAGCAGTTTCAGTTCCATATTCTGGCCTGAATCCAGACTGCACCCAGGTGTAGAATATTTAGAATTAGAAGATTTGATTTCTGCCTTCAGGCCATTTCTCTGTTCTTTCTGAGAAACCTCCAGATCCCATTTTAGTTCCTTCTGGGCTGCTTTAATTGCATCTTAAGCAGCTTTGATTTCTTCAGGTGCCTCAGCTATTTCTTACATCTTGGTTCAAAAGGAATAAATTGCAATTTCTGTCATTAGAAACTTGCTCCTACTGCTGACACCAGCATTGCCTCATGTCTGTGTGGTGGTCAGTTTTTGTAAAATGACCCGCTGTGGGGCCCCATTAGATGTCTTGAAGTCAGGTGTAAAGGGCACCCTCATGAGGCTCTGGAGTGCTGTGGTACACCAGTCTTTGTCTTGGAATAATCCCAGGGATCAACTCTGGTTACCAAATCCAATTCAGCTGCTGAGGCTCTGTGGGCCCTAACACTGGCTAGGTTCCAATACATATTCCCTCACAGTCTTTAACACCACACTCCTCCCCGGGCCCAAGACACCCTGCCTCTGTGACCCCTCTTCCCAAGTGCCACAAAGGCCCACTGACCTCTCACCCTTGCCAGCTGGAGAGAAAGAAAAACACATTCACCATGCTGCCCTCTGCTCATTGATTGGTCACACAGGTCTTGTGTAATGTGTTGTTAGAGAATGTACATGAGTCCTGTTATTCTTAAACCAAGAATTACCCAAGCACACACAGGCAGCTCTGGAAACCCCTGCTTAGTCACTCAGGGCAGCTACCAGACACTGTCCACACAACTGCCTTGGAACCTGGCTGCCTTACCACCATCACTCTGGATCCAGAGATTCACCCCTAGCAGATCCATCACGCTGCCCACTGCTGTTTTATGCCCACTGAGCCAGCATTCATTTATCATTAAGTTACATCAATCTACTACATTGCAGTTAAATAGTAATGCATTTTCTGCTTATTTCTGACCGGCCAAGAAGCATTCTGTAGCTTTCTCTCAGTTATGCACTATGGCAAACCATGAGAGCTTCATACTGTTGCGTAATGGTGGATACTGATTGACTGGTGAAGATTTATAATCAGTACAAGACAGTGTGGCAAATCTTTTCAGCCCCTGAACATATCTATGTACAGAATATAGCAAATTCTGCTCTTGTAATTGCTATGGTGAAGGAGGCCTTGCCCACATCCCTCCCCACAATAAACATAATTTATTTAACAGCTTGAGGTATAGGGGAAAACAAAACAGATAAACGCTGGAAATGGAATGGAAAATTACATGTAACACTTCACTTTGGTGGATATGGAGAAGACTGAGCAATGGTGGTTGCTGATGCATTCAGACACAGCACACAGCCAGTCTGCAAAAAAGCCCTCTATACCACAGGTTCACCCACAACAGAGACAATTGTCTCACCCTTCTAAACAAAGACTTGGGTGTATATCTATATTTTCAGCTCAAACATGGGCAAAAAAGAAATCTTGGACTCCAGGAATTTTCTGCTGCACCTCTGTGGAAACCTATGGACAGATAGGGTATTTGCAAGTCTAGAGCTATCCAGGATGAAACTGAGACTCATCTATCAGTTTCAAGACTTCTGAAAAACTGTCCAAAAAGGCATTTGTGAAGCTAACGCACAAAATGATCATGAATTGCACTGGGTTCCAACTGAACATGAAACTATTCAATCCACTATTACCTGCAAGTTAGATAATGCAAAATCAACATGCCTTGATAAAGGCCCTTACTTATTCTTCTAAACCCTAGAATCATTTTACAGTAACAAAATTGCAACAGACTATTCTTCAGGCTGCTGAAAGTAAAAGATTTTCACTGCCTCATCATTCTGTTGTGCAAGAGATCACTATAAAATGGATGAAATTATCTCTCTTGAAGTTCTGCCACTTTCTCTAATGGAATACAGGTCCTTTGAACTTCTGCTTCAATGCCTGGAATCTGTTATAATTTCATCATGGAAAGCTTCTGTTGGTCCTGTTGTACTATTTCTTTATAGGGTAGCAAAGAACAAATTATTGGCTAAGCAAACTATAGCAAAGCCTTGTGTGTGATTTGCTTCACAGAGCTATTTGGATCAGCACCAATGCAAAACATGCCTC